GACTTTGAATGAATGATTCATTCGTGATCGGTTCGTTCGTGCGGCCATGTGAGTATGGGAGTCTGCTAAACTCTCGTGTGCACGCTTCATAATCGCCATCATGTGGGCGATCCAGTCGTCAAGTGCAGGACAACGAGTGCCTAGACATAATTGCGACGGTCGTAGGAAATCCGCAGGTACGCGAGGGTGTTAACCGAGGTCGCAATAGAATGACGACATCCTCGTGGCTGACGAAATGGCGAGGTTGTATGCAATCTCCACGTGGGCTAAGGGAAAGTCCCACTACCGATCATCCCCAATAAACTTTAAGAGGATATTACCGAGAGTTTTATCAGTGACCTTCGTCTGACCATCCGTCTAAGGGTGGTAAGACGATGAGAAGTGAAGCTGGGATCCGTACACCTCGTGTAGGCGTCCCCAGAATGTGCTGGTAAAGTGCGGGTCACGGTCGGAGAGGATGCTTTGGGGTAAGCCAGGATCTCTCACAACTCAGTCGAAGACGATGTTGACGACCTCACGAGCGCTAATGCGATAGCGGTACGGACAAAGCGTGCACACTTCGTAAAACGATCGACGACGACCAATATAGTATCAGGATTGTGCTTAGTGAGTGGAAGAAGGGGACAAACGAAATCCATCGAGATGGACTACCAACGACCCTCAAGTATGGGTAGGGGCTAAAGTAACCCGTACGGAAGGTGGTTCACATTGTTCACCTTCTGGCGGGTAGGGCACTCCTAGATGTAGGCTTTGATGAAGTCCTAAGATCTCGGCCAGACGTATAGGCGGCAAACACGAGCCAACGTCTTGTACAACCCCATATGACCGGCAACTGCCTGATCATGGAACTCTGCTACGGCCTGGACGAGGAACTGTCCGGTGGAGGGAACACAAATACGTGGTTCTAGTTTACCAGATTTGCTATGCCAATACATGAGACCGTTATCACAGAGGGATTATGAAGGGACAGTCTTGCCACTCTGCAGTGTCGTGTGGATGACGCGATAATCCCGGCAGTGGCGGTACTGAGTGAGGTATGCATCGATCACCAACTGATCAACAGTGGTGATGGAGATGGCAACAAGATGGATGAATTTCTGATTGTGATCAGGACGACGGGATAAGGTATTGACGACGCGGTTCGTTTCACCCTTGATAGGTTGAGTGGGAAAACTGAACTGAGATAAATTACGCCACCAGCGTGCCTGTCAGGGGGAAAGTTTGGGCTTCGTGAGGAAAACCTAGATAATTGAGTTGTCCATGCGCACTGTGAAGGGCATTCCACGCAGATAATGATGCTAATGCCGAGTACATAAGCCACTGCTAGAATTTCACGTTCATCGGTAGTGTATTTGATCTCGACATGCAGTAGCAAATAGGAGTAAAAAACGATTGGGCAATCCCCAACACGAGCCTCGACAGTCCTATCCTCCTCGATGGTCGGGAAGTGGTTGGAGGATAGACGTCAGTCGAGAAGCAATGTCAGTAGGAGGGGGGGGGGAGGGAGGAACTTGGGGATAAGGTGAATGAGGAGGAGAGGGAAACACCTGAGAGAGTAGTACAACTCCTACTGCAAAATCTGACGCATCAGAGATGAAAATAGAGATGAAAATACAATATAGACAGAGGTTTAATATCGCAACATAACCACATCGTATGATAGCACGTTGTAACCCGTGCTACAGACCTTCTCCTCTATGCTACTCAGTCTGCCTTTGGAGTCTGGCTCCAACTCAATAAATACCACATCTTCAAAACTGTTCGACGGTGACGCCCGAGCATAACGTGGGTCGTCCCGCCCAACTCTGTAAGTACCCTGTCTGGACCTGCATGTCAGCAGGCTTAGCTACTCCAATGTGAAAACGTTTCCAGAGGATTCACCTGGGTACGAAACCAAGGTCAAATCCTTTGCGGCCGCCAAAAGGTATCTAGATCCTGGTAACGCGGTAACACCTGGTGGGTGGTCCAGCGAAATAACAATCTCCGCTTTAAAAATAACAAATACAAATACAAAAAATAAATTCGAATACGACAAAAACAGACCCAATTCGAAGCGGCTGAATACCGATCCTGATGTGCATAAAAAATAAAGGAGATAACCAGCAATCCGGGGAATCTGTCAGAGCCCGAGTTGGTCACAGCTCATGTAGATACGCGAGGCTTAGGCATGTGAGTGTCCGTTAGCAGACCCAACTGTCTCCTGGTCTGGCCTTGCTACCTCTGCCTCCATCCTCAGATCTGGTCCAGTTATCGTAACATTTTTGTAACTTGTTGACGAGCACCGTTAGACATTCCCCACCCACCATCCCGGCGACTTTCTCCATTGCTGACAAAATACTATTGCTCGGAAACCCTGCACCTCTCAATTCCCTGTGGAACGTTAAAAAACAGACTGGAAGGAGTGCGTTCATGTTTGTGTTGCCCAGAATCCGATGTATTGTCCCAATTACTGTTGCGACCTTTTGTTCTTTGGGACCGAATGATTCATATCGCCTTGTTATCATGAACTTTGGTTTATCTGGTCTTTCCCACACACTTTCCGCATTCTTGAATTTATGCATAGTTACTACCTGGGTGGGGTTCTCCAGCACAGATATCCGCATCTCCAGGAAGTCTACAATGTTTTCTCTAATGTCTGTTATTTTCAGCCTTAGTTCAGGATGGTAGCAGGATGTGATACCATCCATCACTCGTTCAGTTCTTTGTTTATCCTGTAGGTTTCCTTCTTCGTAAAAACCCAATAATAGCAGGTCATCAACGTACCTTTTTCCAAACAAGCATTTTTCGTCCTTACCAATTCCGTTAAAAAAAAATTCTTCTGCATATATGCAGACTAGGGATGCTAATGGGGGACTTGCCTGCCCTCCCATTGGTATCCCTTTATCTTGCCTTAGTATGGCTCCTACAGATTTGAAAAAGACATGATCGAGCAGAAAGGTGACCAGTTTTTCCAGATCGTGTAGCGTAACCAATTTCCAACCTTTTTCGTTGGCAGCTTTCCCGAAGGTGGCGCCCTTTCCATGTGTTTTTATTCGCACCCAATGCCTTCCTTTAGCTCTCAGTTTGTCGAACATCCATTTTACAGTCGTTCTGACTTCGCCGTGAGGAATTTTTGAAAACATCTCTTTTATATCGAACGTCTGGGCAAGGATAGCGAGATGATCTATGTCAGCCCTCCTGTTTACTGCCACGAGATTCTCTTTCAGGTTGCTACCGGTCAGAAGATTGAAGTGTCCTTCTTTTTTAGTTCTGATCATGAGGTTTAGTGCTTTAACCAAATAATTACTTGAGAATCGTGTCGGGTTTGCAAAGAATGGGCAAATCGATTTTTTTTTATCGAGGTCATTTTCTTTACTCATGATGTATGCATTCTGTAGCTTCCCTGTTTTATCCCATCGGCCAATCCGGTCGAGTTTCAATCCTTTGTATTTCATTCTCATTGTACACAAAATTTCTTATTCGAATCTTTGGACTTTCTCAAAATCAGGGTTGTCGTTGAACGTTTTTTTCATGCCATCACAATACATCTTTGGGCATTCAACCAGAGTAGCTCCTGGGTTTCTGTCTAAAGGTGAAAGTGTTAGGCCTTGAAGGGCCCCTTTCACTCCCAAGACGTATTCGCACGTAACAGATCCTGTTGGTGTTTCATAGGACCCGATTGTTCGGAGTTTCATAGGAGACGCCCTGAACTCATCACTGATTCCAACATTCCTTTGATCTCTCAAAGCCACTCTGCAGGCCTCGTCGACAGTACTCAAGTTCTCGATACGCCCGGGGTAAGGTACATTTCTGGAATTGTGGAGGAAGGGGTGAACTTCCGGAATCTCATGTAATCTGACCCGTACGTGCCCATCTATTTTGGGCAGATCGAACATATGGCATTCGCAGTCCAGGATTTCTCCTGATGCGGTCGCCTTATGGTTATGCAGAATATCTGCGACAGTCTTCGCTTTTGTCGAGACCACTCGTAGTTTTTTCTGCATCAGGTCCACAAGTTCCTACGGTTCAACCCTCCTTCCAATCCATTCACAGACTTCATATCGCACACATCTTTTGTCAATCGTGGGGCAAAAGGAAATTTTAACAACTATTCGTTTTCTAGGATTAAAATGCAGTCGCCTTTTCAATTTCGTTGCGATCAAGCTTCTAATAATTTGTCTACCCCTCTTTGCATTCACACATTTAAGCCCTTTCAACATCCCAACCAACCCAACGGTGTCTTTACTTCTCAGTGTGCATTTTCTCTTCCAGGCGCTCTTAACAGAGATATTAGTTCGGATTTCCGTCTATCAGATTCAGATTCGGTCTTAACCAAGCAAGTGAGGGTCCATTCGCCGCCTGCCTCGAACAGTGTTTTCATATCGCGAAGGATGTAACACCCATCTGATTCGGACAGCTTTGAGTCCCCATACACCAGTCTCAGCAATCTCCAAGAGCACATCCATTTTTTTCCTCCCTCACATGTGATGTGTATTGGTCGTTTCTTCCCTTTTGCACATTTCAAAATATTCATCAAATTAGAAGACGAGCTAATTTCAGTTAAATCAGACACGAAGGTGATTGGTTTCCACTCCTGCATACGTGGTGCTTTCTTAGTCTTCTTTCTGCATTTCCTGGGTTTCTTTCTGGCTTTCCCTTTCTTACTGTTCAGGCCAGGATTTTCTTCTTGAATGATTTTTCCTTCCACCGCTTGTAGTTCATCCTTCCCACCCTGCCATAATGGGATCACAGTGTAGGATTCATATCCTTTCTTCTTTAGCCATTTATGCACCTTGAAAACAGGACAATCAAGGGAGGTACGTATATGTTCCCTCCATCTCTCGGATACCAATCTACTCGTCTGGCCTACGTATACCTGACTAAAGAAGGGGGAGATAAGCGCATAGACACACGAGTGAGCATCTAGATCGACTAGTGCGTCTAAATCAACGGATTCCCAATACTTGATGTACGTCCGTCCCCATTTTGAATAGTCGAGCACGCATGAGAGAAAAGTGCCAATCTTAAAAACCCCGTTCTAAATCTTTCTTCTCGACACCGTCATATCTCGAGATAGCCTTGCTGATCCTCCGCAAGGAACGCAGCAGGCTCCGTCTTGAGGGGGCTAGTTCCCCGGTACTTCATTTGAGTCTTCGTCCTCCAATCCAGCGTGTTCAGCTCCAGTCTCCTCGTGCTCCCAGTCGGATTCCACGTCGGCTTCCATCCCGTCTTCGCCATTGATCAATTTAGTGAATTCGTCAGTATCTTGTTTCGTCAGTTCCCAGGCTCCTTTGTCCTTGCGTTCCCATTTGACATTCCTCTTTACGCATAGACTTTTCAGCTTTCTCTCGTTCATCTCCATATAGTGGTCGAGTCTTTGCCGCATGTACTCGACTATCCCGACTTCGTTCTTACCACCACCCGTGCCACCTGCTCTATTCACCTTCAACTTATCCCCATCGTCTTCTGAGTCCTCACTCTTTTCCTCGATGATAGCAGCTTCGTTGTGTACTGCGCTTAGCTTGGCAGTACCAGACGTCTCGCCTTTCCCTGCATCGTTCACAATATCTAAATTCACGTTGTCAGCAATCACCGCCAGCATCTTAATCACATCCTCAAGCTGAACTGCGCCTTCGTTCGTGGCCTTAGCTATAGCTGGATCGCTTTCCGCCTTAGCTTCTTGTGGTTTCCTTGTTTTTCCTTCCTCGTCGGACGAGACCAGTATGCTCGGCTGGCGCATCTTGATTCCGCCGCTACGAGAGCGAGTTCTCGGTTTTTGTTTCTCAGCCGTCGGTGAGTTCACCCCAACGATCCTCTTACACTTCTCGTTGCTCCCTCCCTCTCCTTTCGGATTCTGGTTTCCAGCTTTGAGTTCAGCGAGTTTCTTCAGTACTTTCTCACGTTCAATATCTGCCTCCTTGTTCTTCTTATCTACAGCGTCCAGCTTGTCCGCGATTCTCTTCAGCGACGGGCCGAAGTTTGCTGCCAACCAGGATTTTAAACCCTGTTCGCCATCATCCGCAAAGGTAGCAGCTTTCCCTTTCGCCTTCCTTGATCTTGTATTCCTGCTACTCTCGCCAGAATCCTCCGGCTTCTACTTCTTCGCTTCGTCAACAATGTTCCGACTCTTCCACTTCTCGATCAATTCAAGGTGTTTCTTGGTGAACCAGGCTCTGTTGCCTGGTCCCGGGAAAGGATTCGCTTCGTCACCGATTTTCTTCAGTACTTTCTCGCGATCAACAATGACGCATCAGTGGTGACGATAAAGAGACGATCAAAATCGGTGAGGTGAGGAAGCGGCGCACAAGTCACAGCCTTCTTGAGGGCGCGAAAGGCATCCTCACGGAGGAGTGTCCCAAACCACGGCGGGCTCTTCCGAAGGAGGGTGGAGGTAAGGACGTAGGAATACCTAGCGTATCCCTGGATGAAATTACTACAGTAACTAGTAAGGCCTAGGAAACGACGAAGCTGCTTGACGGATGTGGGGACGGGTCACTCCGTAATAACAGTGATCTTCTCGTCGTCCATGTGGAGACCCTGTCAGACACATGGTGTCGTAGAAAGTTCACTTTGCACTGGGCAAAGCGACACTTACTAAGTTTCACATAGAAGTCATGCTTGCGTAAGTGTTGTAGAACATCGCGGAGGTATCTGAGATGGTCATCTAAGGTACGATTGTAGACCAAAATGTCGTCGAGGTATACGAGAATATATTCTTCAAGAATGTCCCAGAAGATATCGTTCATCGCCGTCTGGAAGGTGGCGAGTGCATTGGTGAGGTCGGATGGCATCGCCGTCAATACAATTTCGTTATAAGTGAACCTTTTGATTGTTCACTTTTCGTAACAAGGCCGAAATTCATGTTGGAGAAACATAAACAAGAGAAATTCATGTTGGCAATATGAACTGAGGAGCGACATAAATAACAATAAATCGATACAATCATTGCTAAGTATCGCTAAGTGGGCAGTGCCATGAGTCTCGCAAGATCAACAACCTCCATCGCTTGGAGTACTCGACCCATCAACCTGCAACTTGTTATTGGGCCTATGACATCTACTAAGTCGACCGTCCGCGAACCCCCCCCTCTTCCCCCCCAACCCCAACCACCCTAGCACACCAACGATAACCAACCCCCTTAAAATCAGTGTTGCATCGAATGTATCCCTTGTTGGCTATTTTCGAGATAGCCTTTTGGAGCGGCCACTTTGCAACTCAGAATAAACTTCAGGTTTGTTCGAGGACTCCTATCAACCTGCAAAAAGAAAAACGGGCTTATGACACCTGTTGACCCTCCCCTCCCCCACCCCTTGCCCCAGCACCCCAACCCCCTGGAAGTCACATTCTCCCCTTTTGGCCCTAACCCCTAGAAGTCACATTCTCCCCTTTTGGCTATTTTCGCGGTGTGTGGACTAGTTCCAGGGCCTATGACATGTACTGACCCTCCGCCTCAACC